TAAGTTCATAAATATTCACTATTTAATTTTATTTACTCTCGTTAATTTAGTTCATGAGTGTAAAAAACATTTATTGATCAACTATATTAAATAGAATTCATACACATTACAATGAATGTAACACGCATGAATCTTGTACTTGGTTGTGGATACTCTGCGGTCTGTTGGATGATTCATGAAAAATTAACAAAACAGAAACTTATTGCTATGGAAGACCGTGTGACCCATCTAGCACTGTTGTACTCAAGACCCTATTAGATTCTAAGATACCTTTATTTTTGAAAGAAGTAAGTTAAATAATTGTAAATATATAATTGTACTAATTCATTTTAAATTAAGCACGAAGTATATAACTACGAATATATGATGATATTTCAATATATCAATTATGGAAGTCCTCATAAGCTTTTAAGAAAAATTTTTCAAGAACTTAACTGGCGGGCTAAATTAAAACTACTTCAGGATATTTCAGAAGATTTAGATAATCTTCATGGTGCAGGATGTATTCATGTAGACTTTTACAGTGGTAATATCTTGCAATATTATGCAATCTTGTATCTCAATTTATGAAGTTGTGTTTTATGTAGTTTTGGAAGCTTTATCACACCAAAGGCCCAAGTATTATAATCAGTAGTGTACGGGAGAGAGCACTCCATCGAAGATGTCAAGCAGACAAAAAAACTTTTGATGGTTACGTTGGAATGTGGCCTGAATTTGCACCTGGAACTCCTGGAGTCATATTGAAATAGGTAAGCAATGCATAGATTCAAGTTGATTGGATCAGTAGATCTTGCAGGTTGCCGGGTGTGGGCCCGGCTCATTTAATTACTACTTTATGTTCGCCTTACAGGATTTAGCCCTGTTTATCGCTGTTTTCGAATTAGTGCGGTAAATGAGTTTGTGAACCTCATGAATCCTGCATATTCCATTGTTTTGTAGTGGCAATATACAGAATTCATGGGATTCACAAATTCGTTCACCGCACTAATTAGCGGTAATATAAATAAATTGCGGTTAACCCTTTTTTTTTGGGGAAAATTTTTTTTTTTTTTGAAATTTTTTTTTTTTTGATTTTTTTTTTTTTTTTTTTTTAAATTTTTTTTTTAAATTTTTTTTTTT